GCTTATTGGGAGGAAACCCAATTTTTTTCCTTTTATTTATTATGCTTTCTAGTAATAGGATAATTTAATTAGTTTTTTTTTATTATTCAATTTTAGGGACTCATCATCCATACCACGTTTCCTCTTAGATTTTCGATATGTTAGTGGTTTGTTAATTGTTAGAGGTAAGTAACACTCGTTTCAATTATTTGATGTTAATGATTTATTTGACTGTATTGAATTGGAACATGATATCGTGCAACACTTAAACCACCCAAGAGTAGATTACAATCCATATTAGGGGAGTCTTTTTCTTCATTTTCTTCCAAACCCCTTTATACGGGGATTTAGAATTTAAGACATTGAGGATGATGTCTAGTTTAAGTTTGGGGGTGGACGATGTCTAATTTTCATCGAATTTTGTTACTGTTGCATGCTTGTGTGAAAAAAAAATTATTACTTCTTGTTTATGCATTTTTGCATGCTTGTGTGGGTCAGATAATCTGCCAACAATGACGTATATATTGGACTATAGAGTTGGACTATAAATTATGGATAATTTATATGCTAAGTTAGTTTGTACCTATTTATGTGGAATTTGATATTTTTGGGCACAAGATTTATGTTCTGCATTGTGAAAAAAAATTTTTGATTCATATTGTTGAATAGGTTGAAAGTAATGGATCATAGATGCATAACCTGCATAACTATTATATTGTACATCCATAAACCAATTTTAGATAGTTTGGGGATATTGAGCTGTTGTAGGAAGACATTGAAATAGATGCGGATTCCATGTGGTGCTAAATTTTGTATGGATTGTCTAAGATCAATAAAATGAGAATTACGTTCATATCTTAAGTTAAGGGTCGATTATTGAGAATGAGTGTTCAGTAAGGGGCATTGCACGTATCATAAAAAAAAATTGTGTTGTTGTTTATTCTAAAGTTTCTCTTTGTAGCCTTTATGACTCGAGCGATTAAGCATGCAAGGGTCTCTGAAAACCTTGTGCCCTATGATTATCTGACTTGGGAGTCATCAACTAAAAGCTCGCTACAAGATTCATTTAGAAAACTTAATAGATGGGAGTTTGAACAGTAGTAAAAAAAAAATTAGTTAAAAAAAAATTTTTTTTTTTTTGCTACATGTCTTGAGTAAACCCCGAACACTCATTTAATAGAATTAGACTTTTGACGAAAGATTATGAGCTTAATTGATTCTTAGAGCTTGAAGAAATAAAAAAAATAAGGAGAATCCGCATTTATTGACTTGTTGAGCTGCAATTAGCAAAAATCGAATCAAATTAGAGAGGGTGATGATTAGTATTATATCACAAAGTCAACCTTAGATTGTAGCTTGGGAACAGAGTGAAAAGAATTAAATTTGGGGGGTGTGTATCTACGAGCGAAGAAAGGAAATATATAGCCATAAAAGGTCGGGAATTGAATCAATTTATGACTTCGTGATACTTTACATTAATCTTCACACACACACATCGGTTTTGCATTGAATAGGTAGAGATTGATTTAGCATTGTGATTTTGAAATATTTTTTAGTTTCAACTCTGAAAGTCCAATCTTGAGGTTAAAAGTAGATTATCCAACCAATTTAATTTGGAATTTTTATTTTTTGTATTTAAGCTTTATTTTGTTTGAGGACAAACAATTGATCAAATTTGGGGATGTTTGATAAATATATTTTATACACTTATCTGTATCATTAAATTAGAGCAATTATTGTTATTTTAAATGAACGGAGGCTTAATTTTGTATATATTTTGTTTGTTAGGTGCATTTTGATGAAAAATAATGGAATTTGAGAAAAATGTAGCGAAAAATGGCGAAATCCCAAATTTAAAGATTAAATTGTAAATACTTAATGGTTGATTCGGACCTCAAGAAGATACTTTAAAAATTGTTAGAAGACAATTGGATGGAATTATAATTCAAAAAGGAATGGAATATGATCAAAATATTATCAAAGTTAATTTTCAATCGCACAAGATATATTCTAGATTTTTAGCCGAAAATTGAGATCCCTGTTTGGCATAGTAATTGTCCGAATTGGAAACACTCTATTTCTAGTAAAGTTGTATTCTTTTGAGTTATCTTTCCAACGCGGTTTGAATTGTCTCAATCGGATATCAGGATAGAAAGTTATGACTAAAATACAGACTCCTGTGCAGAGACAAAAAAATCTGCGTGCGAAGTCAACTTTCCTTATTCGATTAGACTCTTTTGGAAATCAATTTGGACATGATTTTCAACCAATTTTAGACTCCTACAAATATTTAACAGCAAAATACATATTGAGACCTTTCATGTACATATTATACTCCATTATTCATCAATTATTATCATTAAATGAGGAGAATTCATAGTTTTTATGAGCTGATTGAAGAGGATTTGCAAGAATTCAATCAAGTGAAGATTCAAACCTAATTTTTGGAAAAAGAAGAGAAGGCGCAAGTTGAGATTTATCAAGAAACCATTGAAGAGATTCAAGATTTCAAGATTCATCTCCATCTTTTCAATTTATCAAAAATTAGGTGATGTCTTTTCACTTAAATATGATTTCTTATAATTTCGATATGTTGGCTAATTTTATACATTGTTAGGATGAGACGAACCCTTGTTATGATATTTTTTGATTATTTTGACTTTGATTTGATTTGATTTGATTTGTGGATGTGTATTATTGTTTTATCGTTCTTTTCAATTGTTTGATCACCATTGAATTATTAGTGGATTTTATTGTTATCGAGTCGAGAGACAATAGGGTTTCAGTGCATTATAATAAACATTATAAAGTTCGATAGAGGATAGAGATATACTTCTATACTTTATATGGTTTCAATAGGTGTTCTAGTACTTGTTAATGCATTTATCATGTTTGAATATTTCATCGAGAGATAGAAAAGTCACATGAGGGGAATAGATTTGATCGCTATCGAGATAGGTTTTCAATTAAATTAGGAACATTGACCAACATAAATAATTTCAAATTGTCAATTTAATTGTTACACTAAAAATGGAATAATAAGGGGGATTCGTCATCTTAGCAATGCATCTCACGTATTTGTAAAGCACATTTACTTATTTTCATTAATTTAATTGATAATTTAGGGATAAAAAAAATACAAAACTTGTTTGCTATTCGATTAGAGTTAATTTTAACTCGATTAAATACATAGTCTTTGTGGGTTCGACACTCTATTAACTACTTTATTACTTGTTCACGATCTCGTTCACTTACTGAAAATCAAACGATCAAGTTTTTAAAAAATTTGATGCGAAAATTTTCCAACCGCAAGTGTACGGTGTCAAGTTTTTGGCGCCGTTGCCGGAGATTGATTTATCTTTTCTTATTAATACTGTTATCAAGTAGCGTTAATTTTAATCTAGTTTAATTTGTTTTAATTCGAATTACTCTTTTTGTTTTTCAGGTGTTTTGGCAGTTGATGCGACAATCTCCGTACGCTTGTGGGTTTCAGCGAAGAGGGAGGATTTCACCATATGTTTATAGAGTAGTTTTTGTTCATAAAGCACGGCAAGATTAGTGCAATACATTTTATTTGGACCATTATTTGAGATCAAGTTTCAAGTAAAAGATTCCTATTTAGTTTTATACCCTTGACTAAAAAGAATCCACACGTTCAACCCTCCTCCACCCCCCAAAATAATAATAATAATAAAACACTATTCATTCAAATGATCATAAGGCTGTGTAACATAATTCAACATATTCCAGAACTTACATTTTCATGATAAATAAATCGACTATTAAGCTCAAAGTGGGTCAGGTTTTTACATGAATTAAGTATAAAATTAATCAAAGAATATCGTAACTTATTTACAATTCATAATCAACAGAAAATTTCAATAATATTTTTGTAGACCGACAAAGTTATCCAACTCCCATAAACACGTGAACAAAATAAAATATTTTTCAATTATTTTTCAAAATTTTCCTTTTTCAATATATCGGTAAACGCCACCAAACTTCATAATCACACAAACAGCTAATATTATATTATTCTAATACACATAAAAATAACTAGATATTTTTCCATCACAAAACCTAAATAGACATTGTCCTAAACATACATAAAAGAAAATAAAAGTGTAAAAGAGCCATAGATGTGAATGGGGCGGTTGAGGCTGAAATGAAACCACAATACCCGCTCCGGAAGGGCATAGTCGAGTGCCTAACTGCATCATCTACACATCAATGTAGTTGAGTTGGCCGATGTATCTATCCAATTGCCATGTGATATGTTCGCTCTCTCTCATGATGCGATCTTCATCGAGACTTAGTCGACTTAGTTGAGTGATATTCAACTCAATGAGCTGCTGTATGGTATGTGTGGTAGCTACATCTTACTGAACAGTCTGTATATCCTGCTATAAGGCCCAAAACACCCTCGTATTCTCCACAACTGTGGAGAGAATCTGAAGTATAATAAGTCAATCAAATGGGGGTTTCGGAGCTGGTGGTGGAAGCAGAGCAGTTGCCTCGAGACCTACAGTGGCCTTCTAACGTGCTTGAGCATGTGCTCTCCTCTTCTAGTTCAACCGGAGTTATCTAGCCATGGTCTTTTTTTCGATCGACGTCTCAACGTCGACTGCAAGCTCTCCCAACAGTAAGCGAATCCAAGTTGATCCAACTTATTATTTATAAATCAAATCACATTATGAGTATTTACTGATGATAATAAAAAATAAAGTTATATTCAGGAGGATTGTAGATGAAACCTCCAGCATAAGTATAGCGATTATTCACATACAAAGACGAAAAGTAATATGAAACAGAAAAAATAAATCAATGTTAATAATCGTCATATGTGTTTAGATCACAATAACCGATCATGTGTGTTTTGTAAACCTAAAAAAGTTGGTATATTATCAAGATTGAACACAGAACATTCATAGTTCATTCAAGATTTCAAATCCCAAATACATTTTATTGAAACTCGACACAACTACAAGAGCAAGTTGCAAAAAACAGGAGGCTACAATCCATTAGTAAGAATCATGAGATTCTTCATCATCAGTAGCCCTAGTAGAGTAGACAAAACGCTTCATATCGTCGTACAAACTTTGAGCAGCAGTCTTGTTTTGAAGCTCGATACCGTGAAACCCACCTCGATTATATTGATAGATCACGGGTACTCTGTATCTCATCAACAATTGTACTAGTTGGGTTGTTCGGTCGATCAAGGGGTCACCTTCGTCAGCTTTTACAAAGACCCTCGGTAGACGTGGGACCCTTCCGAGGTAAGATCCACCAGATATGGGGTTACAAAATTCATGATCTCGATTAGCGTACGGTGGCAATGCCAATGTCCATAACACGTCACACACGTACAAAGGAACATAAGGATCCTCCATAAGTCTAATCTCCGATGGAGTCCTAAGAACTCCACCAAATAAAGGTTGATTTAATAGAATTCCACAAATTTTTATTGGTCGAAGATCAAAATCCAGTGCACGTAGGGCCGTATGGTAAACTATGTTCCCACCAGCACTACTGCCCAATAGAAAAACTCTCGAAAAATCAGCGTAGTCTAGCCATGGATCACGTCCCCCAATACCTAGTGCTTGGTTCTTAATCCAAAAGATGGCATTCATGGCATCATCATAAGCTGCTGGGAGGCGGTTTTCGGGGGCCAACCGGTACTCGACGGATACCACCACCGCGGGGAACTGTGAGGCGATATCATTACAAAAGTCATGAAAAATGACAGTCGATGCACTAAACAACACAAAATCACCTCCATGTAAGTAGATAATGAGTGGCAGCTTGGTGTCTTTTGGGGGGTTGACTGGTATATAGAGGCGGACATAGGCTTTACTCTTATAGCTGAGCTGTACATCGGTCGAGAGCGCTACAGGAGGGTTTTTCGGGTCAGTAATAGAAGGGGTGGCATCCACCATAGGGATTTGGATTTCTCTTTTCAATGTGCCATCAGAATTCCAGCTTATTCCAAGTACTTCAAAGGCTTCTTGCCACGTATGGGATTTAGCCACGTTTTCTTCAGCTCTTATCGACGGCCATGATTGGCTGATAAGCAAGAAACCCAGAAGAGTGTAAGCTGCGAAACCATGCCATGATTTTCGGTTTTGATTCAGACAATGTTGTCTGAGCATTGTTTGTGGAAGAAAAGGATTCATACTAGGGAATGTAAGTTGAAGAAGGAGAGATGTTGCTATGTGGATGCCTTGAGTGGGTTATAAATAGAGAGAAATTGAGGGTTATGATGATGAAATTTCAATTAATTTTGAATAAAAGATTTAAGCGTGACACGTACGTTGTGTACACAATCCAAAACCACACACACAAACAAAAACCAATTTTTCTATAGTTTAAAATTCGTTTCTCCGCATATTGTTTTACAGTTGTATTGTTTGCTATCCATTTCCAGTATCATTTAATATTCAGGAAATATTGTTTAGAATGTAGGCATGGAGAGAAGAAAAATTTGAAAAAATGAACTCAAGAGACTGTTGAAGAAAAATAGATCACCAGGGATTTCGGGCTCGGTATATCACCTCTATACCGAATCAAACACCAAAATCCAACAAACCCAAAACCAAAACCCAATACCCAACAATCGGTTGCTTTCTTGGCTAGCCCACAAAGGACTTGGTATGAGTTTTTTGCAACCACAAGGGGGGTTGAAGAAAAGGCACAACAGTGAAAGCACCGAGTAAGTAACTGTGGTAAGTTGCAAATATAATTTCATACCCACAAAGCCAGAAAATGGGAGTCAAACATATATAGGATATGGGTGGGCTTTTAGGTTAGGTAATAGTTAGGCCTGTTAAACTACATTTTAGGCAATGTTAATTATGTAATTGTACATTTCATTTCTTCACTCCATAGGCGTGAATCACTTGGTCACATTGTATATATATGTGTTGTAAATTCTTCAGAATTAATTGGAATAATTTTCAACAGCTTTTCCCGCCAATTTCTTCTTCTTTCTCTTCGGAATTCAGTTCATCTCTTCAACCCAATAGCTAATAGATAGTGAGTAAATGGACTATCGACCTAATAAGCCATCCAAGATTTATGGGTAGGGCCACGAGTATTACTAATTAAATTAAACTACTTCAAATGGCCCAAGTAGGTGATAGGTTTGGGTCATTACAATAGTGGTGTCAATATTTCATTTCACTTATCAGCCGAGACCTATGAAGTATAATCCAAACGGTTTAACATCATAGCTCGAAATTTATTGGGTATCAAAAAATCCAACAAAGACCTTACATTAAGTCAATCAATGCATCTAAACTTGAATTTGTTTTAATGAATATTTTTTAATGACCAATTGATTCGATCGTTATTATACCACGCAAGATCTTCTCGTCTTCTTAATTCCTCAAGTAATTGTAAGCATTCACAACCTTATCGCTCCAAAAATTTTATATTCCCTTACAACTTATTTGATCCTCATAATTTATGTTGCCGAGTTGTGAGACATTGCTAACGCTATTTCGCAGACTATGATGGGGCTAAAAGCATTAAGCGTTTGCATGATCTTCTTCATTAACATTCAATATCTAACCTGACACAAACATATTATTTACTACAAGTGATGTCTAGTATTTCTAATTATTAATTTGAGGGGTTGATAATGAAATAATTAAAGAATTATGCATTATCCAATACAGTGGGTAGCCTACATCTATACACAATAGAAGGATTTCCAAATAATTGACTGGCTCAATCATTGTATCCTATCTCCTAAATTCTGGTACCACTATGTATCAATATTGAACATAAATATGTGTGACACGGTGTGTCCCTGTTTGGGCTCTATTTTAGGGAAAAAAAATATTTTTCTTTTTTTTTATTTACACATTTTCCAATAAAATAATAGGACACGTAAATCTAATACCTTTTTCAATTTTTTAACCGCTTATTGTCCAGAAAATTACTATTTGAAAATATTTTTTTCCACAACTTATTTTTATTGAAGCCTAAATAGGTCTATATGTATACTAGTCAATGATTGAAGTATATCGAGACATCTCAATTATTTTGATATTAGCTTACATCCACACACGATAGAAGCAATTTTGCAGGATTTTGATATAAGTCACTGTCTCTCATAAATTCTGGTCCCGCTAAGTATCGACCATAAGTATTACATGCATTTTCTTATATAAACTAATCAAAGTTCACTGTTACAAGCACATGAATTCATAATTGAATTAAAACCCATTTTGCTAATGCACTGTCACTAAACTTAATGTTCCAATGTACAGTTAAACATCATTTTCAAATACATATTTCACCTAATAATTATGACGTGGCCATATTATCTTAAATATATATATATATTAAATGTTCCTGTAAAGGATTCATACGATTTTAAGGAATTTGTTGGGGAAATTAAAGAATTTGTCTGCAAAGGATATAAAGCCACACACCGAAAAAGCCATTTTTGAGCGACTCGGGAGTATTCAGTTGGCTCAATTATTGTACTTTTCTTCTAAAGGTCACTGCCATTCATGAAATGTAAACTTCTTAAAGATAAAATTCAAATAAAAAAAAAAACTCGTTCTTTAAGAATTTAAACTTTGATGTGATTTAACTTGTAAAAAAAAGCAGTCATGTCCAAAATTTGAGTACAGTCGCTATTAACTTATAACAATGGTGTATGTATTATGTCTTTAGGATGTGTAAGCAATTATATAACCCTAATACTTAGAATTCATGATTTTCACATATAGATTAATTGATCAAAAAACATACATTGATCCATAACAATAGTTGAAAGATTTAAACCTGGAAAATAGAAACTCATGAAATTTAGAAACCATTCTCTCTCTTTTCCTTTCTGTAATTGAATGTTTTATTTGATAGGCTTCGTTCACATTTATAAGCAAAGAGAAACAGTTTCATGACCATAAAAGAAAACTATTTACTTTTCATCGAAGTCATGGCCTATGAAAGAAAACTATTCACTTTCCATCAAAGTGAACAGTTATTAAACTGCCACTTCTTAATGGACTAATAGAATTTTATCAATAATTAACCATCATTAATTAATTTAAATAATATTATTATTTGGAACAAATTAATTGGTCTTACTCCCACTTGGTCCATGTAATATTACGTAGTTATGTGGTCTATAACATAATTCGCATATGAAAAATTAAAATTCCCTCGTACATTGATCACTTAATATATCATCCTTAAGTAAATACTAAATAAGAGTCATGGCAATTTTACATCATTATTTCGACATAATTCCTTCCATATACTACAATATTAGTCCCCACCTAACATGACACGTAATGAGAAGTTCGATAACTGCATTTCAATAATGTCTTTGAAAAGACTGTCCTGTCAGCATTCATATAATCCATTCATGCATATATATCAACTATTATAACATGAATAATATTTTATCAAAAACAATACATAAACGAGCTCAAAGTGTCAATTACTTAAATCCCATAACGCCAATGATCATTTCCAATAATGCTCATTCTTTCGACATGTTCATTAAATGTCTTTGGTGGCAATCATTTCGTTAGTGGATCTACAGTCATAAGATTGATTCTAATATGCTCGATTGACACCGTTTGTTTTTGAACTTCTTCTTTAACGGAAAAGTATTTCAATTCCATGTGTTTAGCACCTTTGGAGTACTTGACGTTCTTTGAAAAGAAGACTGCTGCAGAATTGTCACAATAAATTATCAGCGGCTTAGCAATACTGTCGACAATTATGAGCCCTAAAATAAAGTTCCATAGCCAATTTCCTTGAACCGTGGCCTTAAAGCATGACACAAACTCAGCTTCCATAGTAGATGCAACAATGATCGATTGCTTTGTATTTTTCCATGATATAGCCCCTCTAGCTAAGAGGAACAGATAGCCAAATGTGGACTTTCTAATATCCACACATCCAGCAAAGTCTGAATCCGTATATCCAATGACTTCCGAGTTATCAGATCTCCTATAAGTGAGTATATGGTCTTTCATTCCTTGCAAATATCTCAACATTTTCTTTGCAGCTTTCCAATGATCAAGTCCTGGGTTACTTTGATACCTATCCAGCATTCCGACAACAAAATTGATGTTTAGTCTAGTGCAAATCTGAGCATACATTAAACTTCCCACAAGAGATACATTAGGAATAGCTGTCATATGTTTGCGTTCCAATTCGTTCTTAGGACATTGTATGAGACTAAATTTGTCTTCTTTTTGAATTGGAACGACACTCGCTTAACAATTTCCCATCGTAAATCTCTCTAAAACTTTATTGATATATGCTTTTTGAGACAATCCTAATAATTCTTGTGACCTATCTCAGAATATTTCAATTCCAATCACATAGGTTGCCTCTCTCATATCTTTCATTTAAAAAATTTTAGAGAGAAATTTCTTAATCTCACGTAATAGATAGAGATCATTAGTAGCTAGCAAGATGTCATCAATATACAAAATAAAAAATATAAACTTGCTCTCACTGGTTTTTAGATATATACACATCAATCAGCGATGTTTTAGTTAAATCCAAAGGAAGTAATGGTATCGTTGAACTTAAGATACCACTGACGGGAAGCTTGTTTAAGTCTGTATATTGATTTCTTTGATTTACACACCATATGTTCCTTTCCTTCAACTGAAAAACCTTCAGGTTGATCCAACTTCTTCATCTACAGTTCCATTTAGAAAGGCAGTTTTCACATCCATTTGATGTAGCTCTAAGTCATAATGAACTACTAAAGCCATTATAATTTTAAGTGAGTCTTTCCTGGATACTGAATGTCTCCTTATAATCATTGTCGTCTTTCTGAGTACAACCTTTAGCAACAAGTCTAGCTTTATATCGTTCAATATTACCATTAGAATCGCGCTTAGTCTTAAAGATCCATTTGCACCCAACTCTTTTACACAATTTAGGTAATTCAACGAGATCCCAGACTTCATTATGTTCCATAGATTTCAACTCATCTTTCATAGTATCTAACCATTTACCAGAATTAGTACTTTCAATGGCCTGTGAAAACGAAACTGGATCATCATCAACAATTCCTAAGTCAAAATCAAACTCTTGCATGTAAACCATATAATCATCAGAAATAGCATATCCACGTTGTCTATGTGACCTTCTTAATTTTATTTCT